CCCCAAAACCCCAAAACCCCAAAACCCCTTAGTGGGTTAGATATATTGTTTTATTGAGGTAATATATTATTTTTGGCAATGCGTTCGAATTCGACAGGAAGGAGACATTGGAGGTCAACAGAGGAGTTTTATAGGACCTCTATGACTAAGGTGAGGAAGAACAGAAGCCCTCTTGTTAGGAATATTAAATAAGATAACTCATAATGAGTGTTTTATACATGTTAAGGAACAGAGATATACTGACTTAAATGATGCTCTTAAGCAATTGAATAGGAATAAATTGGCTATGAAACGTATCGAAAGTAAGATAGAAGCTAGACAAAGTACGACTAGATCTAGTTGAAATTTCTCAAAGACACAAACTTTTAGAGAAATGCCTAAAATAAAGCTGAAACCTCTCTCGAAAAGATCAGAGATCAGAAGGGTAGTTTGTGAAATCTAACTTATAGGCACAATAAAAATGGAAGCATCTGAATTAAAGAGTGGGATTGCGAGATATCTCTTGGCTCATATTTCCAAAAATATTAGTTCAAAGTTAGCCTCTTCACCCTTTGCTAAAGTTATCAAACTCCCACAAATGCTTGGGCATAGTGAACACGACATGAAAGCAGTGTTTAATGTTAGTGGAGTGAATTGTTTTTGGAAGCAAAATACAATCGATTCTTGGGCCCCACAATCTAGAGAGTACTCCACATGAACTTTTGTTGATGGGAGCCTAGTCCAGTTTGGAGGGCTGAGCACAAAGATGATGAACGATGTCAATATTTTCGATCTAAGAACATTTAAATGGACCCATATATCATTTGAAAAAGAGGAATATGTCCCAGAACCAAGATATGGGCATTCTGCTATTTGTTACGGGTCACTTGTAGTGATTTATGGAGGATATAGAAGATTCTTAAAATCTTTAAAACTTCGAGATACCCATGGCGACATCTCATATTTTTGTACAGATACATTAAAATGGGATAAGCCTATCTGAAAAGGTAAGACTATCTTTAGAAGGCATCATACTGCAGCTCTGATGGGCCATTTGATGGTTGTTCAAGGTGGAATCAATGAAAAAGCTGAAGAAATAGATCTACCCTATACATTTAATTTTATAACTTCACAATGGAAGGAGTTGGAATCAATAGGGGAAACACCAGGAAAAATATCTCACCATGCTTGCTGATCTATTAGCACTAAAATAAATAAAAGAAAAAGGTAATTTCACATATTTTGGATATCTTCTGATTCCAAAAAGACTCTTGGATTCTAAAATGGCTTAAAACTATTAAATCTTACAAACTTGTAGTGTAAATTTTCTTTACATTAATCTTTCATATTTATAAATATTTCTTAATGAAATAGATCAACGAGGTCAGTGCTCTTATTTCCAAATAAAGTCATTGATAAAGAACCTTTTAACAATCAAGTGTATTACTTCGGAGGAAGAAATTCTGACTCAACAGTGACTGTTCTCAAGCCTCATTTCAAACATAATTTTGAATGGGTAAAACTCTCTATTTCAGGGCAAAGCCCTGAAACGAGATATTCCCATTCCATGGAGTATTTTGAATGGATCAAGTCCATAGTCATTTTTGGAGGTAGAGTAGACTCCAATAGGGAAAATAAAATTACTAAGTCCAAACTTCTTAACGACTTATGGATGCTAAACATTGTCAAGAATCAATGGGTAAAGGTCACTGGACAAGGCTCTCCTCCAAAAACAATGTATGCACATAACTCAGCTGTATATGGAAGTCAGTTGATAATCTTTGGAGGGATCACTGACCATAAGACTCAAAGGTGTTCAATGGAATTACAGCTGAACGAAACCACTTTAAATATTTGTGAGCTCCATCAGCAAAGAGCTAATTTGTTAAAAAGGCAGCGGGATGTAATAATTCTATTAAAGAACAAAAAGAAAAGGAAGAAGCTAGATATAAAAGCCATCCTAGGTATGCCTGGTATGCAAGTTAGAGATAATTCATCTTCAAGATCTCAAGAAGAAGCAAAAGAAGGCTTCATTTCGATGCAGAAAACCCTGCATGCTAAGCAGGAGAAGGCTCTTAATGACTCATGAGGTTCTTCTCCCAGAAGATCAAGCGTCATGGATAAGATTGACAGGGTTGAGCAGATGATATTTAACCATGACTTTGAATAAGCTTTCAATTTATTTTGAATATTTTGGGGTTTTGGGGTTTTGGGGTTTTGGGGAGAT